AGGTAGGAAACCGAAGTCGGCTGGGTAGAAATTTGTTTCTAAATCCTTCCCAGATGCTTTATAGTAAACATGAAATTAGTCATTTATGTGGAGTAGGTTGAGGAAGTAGTTAAAATCCGAGGCAGTGATTAACCTAATAAAGGGCCGCTTGCTGGCCTCAAGAAGTAAGGGGGAGGGGTGAGAGAGGCAAGAGGAAGTCCCTCTGCACCCTCCACCTCATTTTTCTTGGCTTGGGAGCTTGAGGGGCTCCCTCAAATGGCTTCTCCTTCATATGGCTTCTCTGTCCGGGACTCCTTTTTAAGGAAGGAAGACTATGGTGACACTAACAAACCAAGTAACTCAGAAGAGAACCCCTCCTCCGTTTTGTAAAAGAGATTTTCAGAGTTTGTGAACTTGCTAAGGCCTTGCAGATGAACCAGGGTTGGAGCTTAAGACCCAAGGTCTACGTTCAGTCTGACTGCAAAATTTGTCATTTAGTTTAGTTGTTAACTGGACATGGCTGGGCCACTCTTTGCAGGTGCTATCGGCCTCGTCCAGCACAGCCATAGGGCTGCATGCCTTTGGACTGTGCTGGAGTACTGGGGGTATTTCGGTGGCCTTTGGAGCCAAAATGTATTTTATATTCTTAGTCATAGCTCTCTATTATTGCTCTTGTTGTTACTTAAGGTCTTCAGATCCCCTATGAGGAGTGTCTTCAATGGAGCACCCCCCCACACACACACACACACACACACACACACACACACACACACACACACGTTGTTTCTGTGGTTCCTCAGTAGCAGAGAGGTGACCTAGCTGTGCTTTACTTTAGTGGAGGCCTGACTCAAGTCTGGCGCCATTCTAACCATGAGAGCTCAGCTGCAAACAGACTCACTTCTGCTCTGACTGTTACCAAGTGCTAGGATGAGAGGAAAGGCCGGTGGCAGCAGCAGGAAGTTGGAGATAAGAGAGCAGTGGAGAGTCTGCCCCTCAGGCTGTAGACAGGGAGGGGCCTGAGTCCCCTGGAGCAGTGATGGCAGAGTCAGCCTCAGGTCTCCTAGTCCCTGAAATCAGCTCTAGGAATTCCCCACTTGTTTCTCTTGAGAGGCTCTGAAGAGAGTGTCACCTTCAGAGTGTCCGATAGAGACCTACTTACCAATATTTCTGCACAAATTTCCTCAAATCATTAGATATCCCCAAGCCACCCAAATCAGCACCTTCCTTGTTCATAATTACCCTAGCTTGTGTGTGTGTTATTGAGTGTGTATGTGTTCATGGGTGTGTGTGCGTGTGTGTGTGTGTGTGTGTGTGTGTGTGTGTGTGTGTATGTGCTTGCGTGTGTGCACTCATATGCGTGTGTGCCTGTGTGTCTGTGCGTGGAGGTCAGGGGTTGACACTGCCTGTCTTTCTTTAATCTTCATGTTATTTGTTGAAACAGGGTCTCTCACTGAACCTGGAGGTCATCCATTCACCTAGGTGGGTTGCTCAATGAGCTCCAGAGACCTGCCTGTCTTCTTAGCTCCCACAGTGCTGCAACTACAGATGTGGGGCCTGGGGATCTGAACTCAGTCCCTCATGCTTGCATGGCAGGGTCTTTACCATGTCCCCACCTTCTATCCTCATGCTTTAAAAACAACAAACTACAACAAACGTAGTCGCTATTCCCTCTCCCCACTTGGAAGGAAAATGTGAACCTTCTGCTCATTGCTGTTGTGTTCTTGTTCCCTTTCTGACTTTGCAGAAGAGAGTCTACCTTGCTTCTTCACACACACAAAGAACCACATAGTGGAATCCAAATCCCAAGCCTGAGAGTAAAGGAGCCCAGTGACATAACAGTTTTCTAGCTCATTTTACTGATGAGATGCATGAGTCCCCAAAAGATAAGAGTCTCAACTTAGGGTCCCATAGCAAGTCAGGACAAGAACCCCGGACAAGTCTGGACTTCAGGATTGTGCTCATTCAGAGTCAACACTGTACCTGATTCTCTGTTGCTTGAGTCAAAGGTGAGGAGGTTTCACAAAGATTTCCATGAAGATTGGTTCTGGATTCAGTGTTTGCTATGGTGAAAGTCAGAGAGGGGGGGGGGGTCAAAGCGTCAGATCTAAGTCTCAGGAACTTCACATGAACCGTATCCATACACACTTAGCTCATGTGTATTGAAGATTAGAAGCACACACCTATGGCATTACTGGCTATGACCCATAGTCTCTATAGAGATGGCTAAACTCCTTGATGAGTGGGGCAAAGCTTTTATGTTCAAATTTAGATTTGCTTCTTCTTCTTTTTTTTTTTTTAAAGATTTACTTACTTATTATGCATACAGTGTGTGCCAGAAGAGGGCACCAGATCACATTACAGATGGTTGTGAGCCACCATGTGATTGCTGGGAATTGAACTCAACCTCTGGAAGAACAGTCAGTGCTCTTAACCCCTGAGCTATCTCTCCAGCCCCTAGATTTGCTTCTTCTTCTTCTTCTTCTTCTTCTTCTTCTTCTTCTTCTTCTTCAGATTTATTTATTATATCCCTGCACGCCTGAAGAGGGCACCGGATCTCATTATAGATGGTTGTGAGCCACCATGTAGTTTCTGGGAATTGAACTCAGGACCTCTGGAAGAACAGTCAGTTCTCTTAACCTCTGAGCCATCTCTCCAGCCCTAGATTTGCTTCTTTTGATTGGTATTTAAAAGAATAAAAGTAGATTCTTTGTGTGAGTGGAATTCAGATAAAAACTGAAATTAAAAAGGAAATGTTGATGAAAAAAAAACTGCTGATGCTGAGGAGTATAAATTTTGTATGATCATACTTTACTGAAATGGGAAAATGATTCTTGAAATCATCCAAGAAGAGATCAGATATTTCCCCTGCCCCTCAACGTGGGGGTAACAGGAGTGAGACAGTTCAGCAAAGAGAGGCAAAAGCTGTGTGGCTGTGGGCTGTGATGGCACCCTCCACATGAGCCAAGGTGGCATTTACTTGTAATTCCTTTCTTCCTTCCTTCCTCCCTTCTCTCTCTCTCTCTTTCTCTTTCTTTCTTGAGGCAAGGTTTCTCTGTGTATCCCTTTCTGGCTGTTCTGGAGACTCTGTAGATCAGGCTGGCCTTGAACTCTCAGAACTCCACTGCCTCTGCCCCATGAGTACTGGGATTAAAGGGGTGTGCCACCACTGCCTGGCCAGATCTGTCTCTTATAGGCTCATTGTTTTTTTCTGTGGTTCCTCAGCTTTTTTTTTCCTTCTCCTTCTTCCTGATTTGTTTGAGGATTGCTTCTGCATAAACTTAAAACAATTTTTACTTTAAACCAGATCAGGGAAACTGAGGCTCAGAGAATGGGATTGTGTGGGTTCAAGCATACACCTTAAAATAGCTGCAGCAGGAACCAGAGCTAGGTGTTCTGAGCTGTGTCTTGTGTTCCTTTCCACACCACACTATCTCCTATTAGTCTCACTTGTACTTGCCACATTCTAGCTGCCTGGTTGGGATCCATTCTAGACAGGACGGAACCACCCAGCAGAATTGAAGTTTACTTCACCGTGGCTTGGAAAGAACCCCGAGTCTTTCAGAAAAGAGATGTATAAAGCCTAGTGCATAAGGGAAGTTCTTGCAACAGCAGAGAATGAGTCAGTCAGCCAGAGTTCAAGAAATGTAAACACATCTTTAGATAGGAGGCTGAAAAATCACTTAGGACTTCTCATCTCTTGGGTCAAGACCTTGGTAATTTACTGAGGTCTGTGCTGTCGGAGGAGCTGAGGCTCCAGCTGCATTCCTGTGAGATAAAGCAATGGGGGTGGTAAAACTCCCTTCTGGAGCAACTTGGGGAGATCTACCTCTTGTGCAACTCGGACCACTGGCTGTCAACCTAGGGTGGGGCCTTCTTCCTGTTTTAGGAGCTGGTGTGTACAACCAAAAACCTCTCCCTGCTTCAGCACCACTTCCATCCGGGCTGTTGAAGCCACTCGAGGCCTTTCTGTGATGAACATGTCTGCTACTCTTGAGATAAACAGAAAACACATTCCCTGACTGCCTACCAGCCAGACTGATCAGATTTTCAAATGCTCCCATTAATCTAGCCCCGGGCTTTTAGTGAGGAGATAGCTTCCCACTAGATAACCAGGCTATTCAGAGGTGACCCTGTCTAGAGGGATTTTAGCCTCAGTCCCTTCTGACTTCCTCAAATCACGGCATTCTTCACCTAACACTCAAATCTTGGAAGGTGGAGAGAGCAACTGATTCTAGCATAGAGTTTGGCTCCTTTAAATTTCCTTCTATTTAAATCTGTGTTGACAATGTTTAATTCCCAAATTGCTGTTTTAAATAAAAATGAAATACAATTATATTTACTCATGCTGTTTCAGAGTGCTTATTTTCCGGAGTGGGGGAAACTCTGATGGGTCCCATCTGGTAGTAGACTGGAAACCTAACTCCAAGGAACCGCCTTATCGGGACAGGTGGGCCACCTGGCTCCTTCTGTGCGTGTCAGGGCTTGGTAAACATTGGCCCTGCAGGCTCTGAAATGGCCAAATGTTCTGCGGTTACCAGGATAGGAGCTGTTGGAGGTGCTGGCAGGAGCCTCTTGAAATCTGTTCAGGGCCTTTTTCCACACATCATTTCTCAAGAGCATAGCCTTTGATCGCCGGGGTGCTGTCACAGAATTTCCTTCCTAACCTGCAGTGTCATCATCAGGCAGGCGATACATCTGCTGCCACAGACCTCAAGGGCTGCGAGCTTTGTGCAGAGCCTCCCCAGCCCCAGCAGAAACCAGTAAGAGGAAGCCCCAACATCAGCTATGCTACCTTCAAGGTTTTGTGTTTTGGTCATAAATGGAAAATGCAAATTCCAGATTATTAAAAAAAAAATTCTTCCCAGGGTAAGCTTAACTATAAAAGGAAGGAGACTGTGGTGCCGATGACCTTTCCTTAAAAATATCTAAAAATATTTTATATGATGTGAGTCAAGATGCTTATGACCTATGGAGTGTTATAATAAATTTCAAGTCTGTTTGTTGAAAAGCAAGAGACCAAGACCCAAGACGGCCTGTTGGTGGTGCCATTATCAGATTCTTGGGATAAGATTTAAGGCTTTGTTTATGCTACACATTTTCCTTTTAAATCTTCCCGGCTGAGAAGGAGGGTGAGATAGGCATATTAAACAATTGCTAGGGACCCGAGAAGGCCTCCAGGCTAAAGACATACCCCTGGGAGGTCCAGCTAAGGAGCCTGTCTAGAAAATATGAGTCAGTCAGAATTTAAATATGGGCATGCCTTGCAAATGTGAGAGCAGTATTTTTCTTCCAATTTGGGATATCAGTTCTTTTATTTACATATATTTCTTAGACCTAGCTCAGTCTCTAGGGTCTAGCTTTTGGTTTGGGGAAATATATGTTTCTTTCAAAAGTTCATAATTTTTGTTTTTATGGAGAAGTCCAAAGGTTCAAGGCAGTTTACCAAGCCTAAAATGGAAACCAAACTGCCAAACTGTGGAATTTAAATTTCAGTTGTGTGGCAATAAATATCAATGACGTAGGAGACCCTCCAGTGAAGACTTGTCATGAGATTCCCAAGGGTGTGCTGGCATTGCTGTCTTTGGTTGCCCTGGATGGTCCCTCTCACTCTGCCTTCCTCTTCCCTCCACGGGTCCTGCAGGTAAGGCATTACAAGTTGCTCATCCTTTTCTCATTCTGCTTTGTGTCCTAACTCTCCTGAGGTCTCTTTCCCTCTAGAAGCTTTTCTTTTCTTTTCTGTTTTTTTTATTTAAATAACTTTTTTTTCCCATTTATTTTACATACCAACCCTTCCCTCCTCCCTCCTCCAAATGGAAAAGGATTCTTTCCCTTTTGGCTGGTTCCTACACATATCCATAGAAACTCTGTTATGGGTATTTTTCTTTCCTTCCAAAAGCAACAACCTCCATCCTTCAGTTTGTACTCCAGCCCTCATTCTACCATTGTGGTTCTCTTTAAGGCATGGCTCTGTCTCTCAACTGTATTATGGTGCCTGGCATGGTATTTGTTGTTAGCAGATGGTCATTTGGTGTTGGCTGAATTAATGAATGAGCAATTTCTTTGTGCCTTGTAAAATAACCTTACTTATTCTTCCTGTTGAACATGTTCCAATGTCGGTGCTTACATTAATTTTCAAGTGAAGAATTGTGGGGAAATCAACAGTGTCATGTCCTCAGGCCACAGGGCAATGTGTGAAGGAAGCAGGAGAAGCAATCTCTCAGGCTTCAGTCACACAGATTCCCAAGGGGCAACGAAACGGAAAGTGATTCTATGGATTACTGGCTAATGGAAGTTACACCTTTTAGTCACTGTGACAAAAGAAAAGCTAAAAAGCTTTTGGTTTTTTGAGACAGGGTTTCTCTGTAGCTTTGGAGTCTGTTCTGGTATTCGCTTTGTAGACCAGGATGGCCTTGAGCTCCCAGGGATCTGCCTGCCTCTGCCTCCGAAGTGCTGGGATTAAAGGTGTGCACCACTATGGCCCGGCTGACTTGTTTTATTTTTATTGTTGTCCAATGTGCCCCTGACTTTTGAAGATATTTTCAAAGAGTTGAAACTGACTTTCCAGTCTATAAATACTCATAAAGCCCATCAATGATGCACTATTTTTTAGGATTTTATCAATTTAATCTAAAAATTTTCATTAAAATAAAGTACTCAAAAAACAAAAATGTATGGCAATTCTATAGATGATTCTAACAATAGATGTTTTAAATTTTTCTGAACACTCAGTTCCAGGAAGCATCACCCATTCTTAAGGTAGTGTTATATCTATCTATCTCTTTAAAAACAAATGGGGAGCCAGGAAAGGTGAGAACTTTTTCTCATGGTCAGTGAGCAAATCAGGGGACCACACAAGGTTCTCCTACTCTGAGAACTAGAAGAGGTGAGAATGAGAAGGAATGAAAGAACGAGAGAGGAAACAGCACAATGCTTGGCACATCAGAAATGTGTAACAGGAATTGTTGCCATCGCTACAGCCATTATTATCACCAACACCATCGCCGTATTGTCATCAATCATCTTAATTATCTTCATCATCTTCAGGACAGGACTCCTGTTTAAGAGCTTCTGTATTGCTCAGTCCTACATACATGTGAACGGACACAGAAACTTCCCACTGAGGATGCTAGTAAAGGGGCGAAGGTGGGTCCAGCCTCCCAGCTGGCTTCCTGCTTACATATCTTGCCATCATGAGGACATGATCGTGTCTTTTCTCCTACTTTTGCAGTCCCTGGGAAAAGCAATCCCTCCGACTCCCCTGTAGTCCCAGTATTAATACAGTAGGTTCCTCACTTGGGATTCACTGATGCTTCCCAAAATGAGCAAAGCAGAAGACCACACACACGTTTCCTTCGTCAAAGACTGTTTTTAGGAGACGAGCCTCTATGTAATCACCCCTTCTCCCAATTCTGGAACGGGCAGCCATATCTGTGGGTGGAGGGGGGAGGTACGAAGGTTTGCATCTCTCTGCATGTGTGTGGGGGAATAAAACATAAAAGGGATCTTGGAAGAAGGAGGAATTGCCCTCAGTCCTCCATTTAAGACATAAGCCACAGAGGGATTTCCAGACAACTTTCTAGTCTGTGGCTATGCAGGCTGAGCTGTGCCCCACTGTAGGCAACAGCAACCTTATCATCATAGGAATTGTGCAGTGTATAACCTGGACAGCTCATAGGACATTCTTGGAGATGGTCTCTCCTGGGCCAGCTGAGGGCAATGGCTTGGGAAAAGTCAGTTTCTTTAAGATTTCTGGTCAATCCAGTCAGTGGACTTTCCAGGAATAACTCGGGAGGACTCTACATTTCCCAGACATCTTCAGTACATCCCATTTTCTGTTTACTGGTGTATTTGGGGGGTGGGACTTTGTACTTCTGGAGGTCTAGATATGACATAACGTGTTCACAAGTTGAATGACACTGAGCATTGGGGGTGATTTTCTAAAGAGAAAGCTGACTTTTCAGGGGTATTGGACCCTTCCTCTTTATGATGGAGACAAGAATGGACAGATTCACAATAAAGAATTTAAACTAAGTATGAAAAACTTGGGGAAAAAAATCCAGTTTCTTTACCCTTAAATGGGGGAAAATATAAAGTCAATGGACACCTGGATTTTAAGCCTGGTGATGAACTGGGTGACTTTGAAATGATGGATGTGTGGATTAGAGGTGAAGCTTTGCAGGGCCCATCATGCTGAAACTGTGATCGGCAAGAGCACCAGTCAGCTAATGTTGGACATGTGCCGTAGGAGCTGTAGGTGCATTGTGTGATGCCACCCAAGGCCCCAGTCTCTGTCTCCAAACAAGTGGGGTTGGGACTGGGGTAGACAAGAGGGGTGCTGGTCCCAAAGACAGAGTTTTTTATTTTTTTATTTTCTTTTTTTTCCAATCTGTTAGAATCACCTGGGGTGAGAATTACTGTAGCTGTCCTTGTTAGCCAATGTGAAAATGGGTTTAAACAAAGCTGTTTTTATGACTGAAGAGAATGAGGATGACAGAGCCAAGAAAAACTGAAGGGACAGAGGTGGGAGGGAGGAAAGGAAGGAGAGAGGAAAAGGTGGAAGTAATATAAGGAAGAAAAAAAAATCACAGCGTAGCTTAGAAAATTTAAGCTAGAAGAGACATATCTTCCAGGTGAATTACCCACCCAAACACAGTTCCAAGTACTTCCCCTTCTAAAATTCATTTTCTTTTATTAATCTATTACGGACACTAAGAATACTAGAGTTTGTTGAAGAATGGACGGCATACATCTGCACAGCTGCAGTGGTACAGCCTCCCGTGTGTGTGTGTGTGTGTGTGTGTGTGTGTGCAGGCACGCCCAGAACCCAGGCTGAGAAAGCAACCTGGAATCCAGAGAGCCAACGGTGGAGGGAGAAAAAGCCATAATTAGTGTTAATTGTTGACCCTCCAGTTCAAGAATAGATGCTTTGGAGAATGGAAAATGAGAACAAACATTAATTATTGAGTAGGGACTGTGGAGACAGACACTCTGGATTAAAAGGAGAGAGATAAATTGCATAATGAATGTTAATTTTCCCTCCTAGAATTGAGCGGTCCAGTGGTTGAAAGGGAAAAGGGGGCTAGAACAGTCCTGAAAGAGAAACCTCCCTGTGAGTGGGGGAGGGAGGGTGGAGGAGGGTTACACACACACTTTCCATCATGATCCCCACTGCTCCTAAGAAATCTGTTCTCAAGCTTTTCCTTGGGATGGCTTTATTACTTCCACAGTGCACTGCTAGGAAACCCAAGCATTTCTCTGCTGCAAAGTCCCCATCCAGGCTGTTTCCAGGAAGCCCATGTCTGCTTTTCCCTAAACTGGTGGGAATGTGACTAGAAGTGTGGAAGCCACAGGAACTGTGGCCCTGAGGGTGCTGCTGGGGTTGGGGGCACATGTGGGCTCCAGGGCCTTAATTGTTGTTTTATCTTAATTACAATACACCAGACACACAGCACCCCTACCCCACATTGGTAATTTCTTAACTGAAAGTAAAAACAGAATAGGGTAATTGTAGCCAATTTTGTGGACACTCTACAAACAGGCTTGTCTCTGGTTGCTCTGGTTTCATCCCCACATACAGGCAGCAGCCCTGAGGGGCCTGCATTTTCTGTACTTCCTGAGCTAGCATCTGTCATCAGCTGCTGTCTGAATGAGGGATGGCTGGAGCTCTCTCCCTCTTCTCTACTGTCCCCTCACGAAGGCTGGCACACACACTCTGGGTTACATTGCATCTCTCCTCAAACATCGGTGATTCCTTGTTGTCTAAAAGGGAGCATCTCAGCTCCGGCCTGGCGCACAGGCCTTTCTTGGTCTGGCCCTGGCCTGCCTTTCAGCCCCAGCATCCTGTGTGGACTGGGGTCTCAGTCCACCCATACTGGGCCACACAGCTCTCTGCTTCCCTACTTCTCTTTGTTCATGCAAGCCCCCAGCAGCCTATCTTTCCTCCATCTGTTTCCTCACTTCTACTGATGTCTCAAAGGTCTGTGCAGATGGGAGGGAATCTCTCCATAAAAACCTTTCCTAGGCTCCTAAACTAGAGTCAGTCACTCCTTTGCAGCCCTGGGTGCTGTTGCTTGGGGCCTGATTGCAGCCTCCTTTCCTTCTGCTTTGCAGGAGACCAAGTTGCCTGTGAGTCTGTTTTCCCCTGGATTGTGAGGTCCCTACACAGTAGTCATGCACGGTGCTGGGTTCAGAGTCCTGGGAAGTGAGTGAGGAAAGAAGAAAGGCAGAGACGTATGCCACAGAGAAAGGAGAGCTGTGTGGCAAGGTGGCTTTCCAGAGATGCTCATCTATCTCTCTTGCACATAAGAGTCCAGAGGTAAGTGGGCAAACCAGGGTGGCTTTGCTCCAGTGAAGTTATCTGGGCACTGGTTCTTTACAACTTATTGCTTTGTCATCCCATAGAACATGGTTTTCTTCCACATGGTTGAAACCATTTTACCATCCCAATCAAGTGCAAAGGTAAAGAGGGAAGAAGAGGGAACAAAGAAATGTAATTTCCATTCTCATTAATCACCGGCAAGGCATGCTGGGAAATACAATCTTGAGTTAGGGATCCATATGTTCAACTAACGTTCAAGAATAAGGCTTCTAATTAATAATGGAGGAATGGATGGACATTAGGGAACAATGGAAGCCTCTACTATTATAGTTTCAACCAATATTTATGAATGTTTTCTGTAAGGGCCACCTGTTTCCTGAGATGTTCGGAAGTAGATTAGAGGAATTTACCTACAGGAATTTTATATCTAAAAGAGGAAAGAAGACAAGAATCTAAGAAAAATCAAAGAAGTGAGGCAGATGTGGTACACATCTGTAATCCCAGCCCCCAGGAGGCGGAGAAGGCAAGAAAGATTGCTCGTTCAAGACAGACTTGGGAAATATAGCAAGTCCTGCCTCAAAAACAAAACAAAACAAGGGTGTGGAGGCAGGGTGTGGCAACATGATAGAATGAGAACTTTGACCTAACAGTATAGGAGCTTGTGGTTTGGATTTACCACACAGAAGTTGTATCACTGGAAAAAAAAAAAAAAGTCACACATCTCTGGCCCTAGTTCTCTGAATCTATAAAACAAGAGGGTCTTCAAACTGTGGTTTTCGGGGCTCAGGCAGCTGAGTATGGACACTTTGCAATCCAGACAACATTTTAGGAAGGGGAGAGTTAGTTCGGCTGTGGATGCTCTAGGAGGGGTATAGCCTAACTCTACTTCATTCAGGCAACTCAGTGTGCATCTGTTTTATCTATTGGTGCCCTCAGCAACACTCATTAACCACTTCCTTTGCATAAACATTGGTGATAGTAATCTACAGATTTCCCCTTGATTTTAGGGACTCCAGGACAGAAGGAAGGCAGGGGATTTGTACCTTTACAGGCTCTGTAAAAATGATGCAAGTAGTGTTATCTGCAAAAACAACAACAACAACAACAAAACCCACAGGGAAATTAAGTATGTTTTAGCACTTAGCGTGCTCTTTTCTTCAAAGAAGGAATTTCTGAGCCAGGTCTGGTGATGCACACCTGTAATCCCAGCACATGGGAGGGTTGCTTCGAGTTTGAGGCCAGTTCGGGTTACATAGTGAGCCTCTAAAACAACAGTAATAACATTCCTAGCAGATTCAGAGGGAAAACAATTTTTAAAATTTCTCTTTGAGGTTTTTCTTCTTTGGGGTGTGGTCACAGAGGGGTGATGATGGCATTTTTTAATCAGAATTTCAAGAGGCCTTTGCCAAAGGAAAGGAGCCAGCTCATACCAATAATCCCAGCACTCAGGAAGCTGAGGCAGAAGGATAGAAAGAATGTTCAGGGCCTGCTTTGTAGGGGACTCCATAACCACGCCTGCTAGGGGCTGGCTACAGGTGTGCTTGACCACACCTGTGAGGCTGTGGTCAGGGTGATGTAGGGAAGGTTTAAGAGTGAGGAGCTGGAAACAACCTAGATGCCCATCAACTGAAGAATGGATAGAGAAAATGTGGTACATTTACACAATGGAGTACTACTCAGCGGGGGGGAAAAAAAAACAAACCAATGGAATCTTGAAATTCGCAGGCAAATGAATCGAACTAGAAGAAACCATTCTGAGTGAGGTAACCCAGTCACAAAAAGATAAACATGGTATGTACTCACTCATTTTTGATTTTTAGACATAGAGCAAAGGATCACTAGCCTACAACCCACATTACTAGAGGAGCTAGGAAACAAGAGGACCCCAAGAGAAGATTGCATAGTCCCTCAAAGAAGGGGATGGGGACAAGAACCCCTGACCAAATTGGAGCCCGGGGGCAGGGAGAGGAAGGAGAGTCTTCATCCAGCCGCTGTTCGAAGCAGAAACAGACACCCACAGCTAAGCACTGAACCATACTACTGGAATTCAGTTGTGGACAGGGAGGAGGACTGAGCAAAGGTGCCAAGATGGGGATGGAGAGACCTGCAGAAACAGTGGACCTGACCTACTGATAGCATGGAGACCTTAGTCATAAAGCTGGGGAAACAGCATTGGACCAAACCAAACTCTCTGAATGTGGGTACCAGCTAGGAGGCCAAGACAGTCTATGGGTCCTCTAACAGTGAAGCCAGTCTTTATCTCTAGAACACAAATGGACTTTGGGAGCCCATTCCCTATGGAGGGATACTATTGCAGCCCAGATACAGCAAGGAGGGCCTAGGCCCTCCCCCAAACAATATGACAGACTTTGAAGGTCCTTGATGGAGGACCTTGCTATCCCTGGGGAGGAGTGTGGGGTGGGTTGAGTGGGGAACATGGTAGGATGGTAGGATGGGAGGGTGAGGGAATGGGGGATGGATATGTAAATATAAGTAATTAAAAATAAAATAAGGCCGGGCGTTGGTGGCACATGCCTTTAATCCCAGCACTCTGGAGGCAGAGGCAGGTGGATCTCTGTGAGTTCGAGGCCAGCCTGGTCTCCAGAGTGAGTGCCAGGATAGGCTCCAAAGCTACACAGAGAAACCCTGTCTCAAAAAACCAAAAAAGGCCTGGTCTACAAGAACTAGTTCCAGGACAGCCTCCAAAGCCACAGAGAAACCCTGTCTTGAAAAATAAAATAAAATAAAATAAAATGAGAGAGACAGAGAAAAACAAAAAAACAAAACAACAACAACAACAAAAAAAACCAAGAGTGAAGAGCCCCTTCTTCCATCTGCTTGCTGTACTCCTGCCCTGCTGGCTGGCTATGTTGCTCTGTAAGTAAGGCTTTTCCCTAATAAATACCCTTATATTTTTAACTCACTCTGTGTTGGTAATTTCCCACATTACTGCTTTGTAGTGAAACCCAGTCAAGAAGGAACAAGAGAAAGGAAGAAAAAAAGAAAAAAGAAAAGAGAAAGAAAAATAGAAAGGCAGGAAATACATCAGCATCTGGAGGAACTTTTGATACTGGCCATCAAGGTGTGGTCAGTGCTGGCTGTGGAGGCCTTACTGGTTTCTTGATGATGAAAGGAAAGAACCTGGTTTCCTTCTGAAAACTAGGACAAACTGATGTCAAGCTGTCTCTTCTGATGCATGCAACACACCCGTTTTAGTTCAGTGCTGAGACTGATGGGAATTCCCAACAGTCTCTATGAGGATTGCTTATCAACTAAGGTTACTTACCTGTAGGGTAGAAACCACTCAGGTAGTCAGGGAAGAAACAAGGTTGCAAACTGGTTGAAACTGCCTGTGGTGGTTTGAATGAAAATGGCCCCCATAGACTCAGGGAGTGACATTATTGGAGGTGTGACTTTGTTGGAAGAAGTGTGTTACTGGGGGTGGGCTTTGAGGTTTCAGAAACTCAAGCCAGGCCCAGTGCCTCTCTCTCTTCCTGCTGCCTCTGGATCCAGATGAAGGACTCTCAGCTACCTCTTCAGCACCATGCCTGTCTGTGTGCTGCCATGCTGATAATGGACTAAACCTCTGAACTGTAAGCCAGGCCCAGTTAAATGTTTTCCTTTATAAGAGTTGCCATGAGCCGGGTGTTGGTGGCTCATGCTTTTAGTCCCAGCACTCAGGAATCGCAGGCAGGTAGATCTATGTGAGTTTGAAGACAGCCTTGTCTACAAAGCTACACAGAGAAACTCCGTTGACATGGTCATGGTATCTCTTCACAGAAACAGAACCCTAACTGATATATTGCCTTCTAGCATGTTGTCTTTATGGGCTTGGTACCAACAAAAGTAGCCCCAAACTTCTATGTCTCTGCCTCACTTCCACCCTCCAAATCTCATGTTAGCAAGGCTAACTGGCAGAGCACAATTTTCATTCAGTCCCCTAGCTGCAAATGTTACTAGGGAAATGTAGGGGAAGCTGTAGCCAGCCCCTAAGAAGGCGTGGCTACAGCTTCCCCTGTGAGGGCGTGGTCAGGCACACCTGTAGCCAGCCCCTAAGAAGGCGTGACTACAGCTTCCCCTACAGGGAAATGTAGTTTTTGGCTTTCTAGCTTCTATTGTACAGGAAGGTGGGGTGCCCAACAGCCGTATCCAGCCATGCTTTCCTTTATTCAAACTTTTGATCTGAGATCAATAGAACTGATAACATCTGCCAGCATTTCTTCTTATGGGCTATTACCAAACACTGATTGGGCAAGAGGAACAATGTGAATCATTACCACATGGGCCTCTTTCTTTTTGCCTTCCTTTACTTCTTCCCACCCGGAGGTAGATGTGTTGTGGACTGTATGATTTGGAACTGATGTTTGGAGAGGGAAAGTAAGAACAGTCAGAACCTAGAGAATGCTGAGATCCTGTTTCAAGCTTAGAGAGCATAATTGCCCCGCTGAGGGAGCCTCCTGGGGAAGGGGCTTATGTAGAAACAAACACTACTAGTGCTGGGAGGTACCCTAGAAAGCATTCAGGGTTCAACCGAGTTTGAGAAGCGTGCAGCTCCGCCTCTCTAGGAGGCGTGCTTCTGCATCAGGAATCTGCTTAATGCTAGTCTAGTGGTCCCCAAATGTATTTGACCTCAAAACCCTTTCCTTTTTGCATGCTGTCTATAACCTTCCATACGAAGAGGCTGAGGTCCAAAGAAATGAACCATGGTCACCAAGCCACAGGCAGTAGAGAGGGTCATGAGACTCCAGAGTCTTTCAGGGCTGTTTCTTTTTCCTCACATGAACTCACTGAAAGGTATTCCTTCAATTTCTAGGCATTGCCGTCTTTACAACAACAGTTGCTAATAAAGAAATTACTCAAGGAAAACCGCACTCTGCCCCATATCCACCAACACAGAAAGACCTCTCTCCGTGACCCAGGGCTCAACAGAGAAAATGAGTTATCTGTTACTGCAACATGAATGATCCTCAACCTAGTGAGTTGAAATAATAAAATCTACTTATCTATCTCTCACAAATTTGGGGTGGGAATCTGGCAGTGACATAGATGTGGGATTCTGGTACAGGCATCATAAGGTCACAGTCACAATGTCAGAGAGGAGTTTGGTAATCTAAAGGCCTAGTTGGGAGTTAGCTAGCCTCTAGGAGGCTGAGGCAGGAAAACTTCATGAGTTCCAGACCAGCCAGAGTGATATAGTGAGACCAAATGAAACTAACAACAAAAACTCCTTCTACAAAATGTCCTCTTACTCATGTTGCAACTTGATCTCCTCCCTGAGCCACAGAGCTAAAAGGTGGTGGGACCTTCAGTAGATGTTTGGACTTTGCCTTCAGGGAGTAAGAGGGAGTAATGTTCCCCCCCCCCCAGGGTGGGCTAATTTTTGAGGGAATGAGGTATTTTCATGCTCGTGAGTCTGCATCAGTTACTGTAGGGAGTGAGTTCTTAGAACTCAAGTGTGCTAACTTGCATCCCTTTGTTCTTTTCCTTCATTTTAAGTCCCACTCCTCCCAAACAGGTGCTGATGCTGATACTGCATGCTGGGATTCCCCAGTCTCCAGAACAATGACCCAAAAGAAGTCTCTAATCTTTACAAATCACCTAGTCTCACATATTCTGTTATGGTAACTGTGGTAGCTTGAATGTAATTGGCCCCCATAAGCTCATAGAGCGTGGCACTTTAGGAGGTATGGCCTTGTTGGAGGAAGTGTGACACTGTGGGGGTGGGCTTTGAGGTTTCCTATGCTCAGGACACTGCCAAGTATCTCAGTTGATTTCCTGTTGCCTGCAAGGTGTGGGACTCTCAGTTACTACTCCAGCACCAGTCTGCTTGCATACCGCTATGCTCCCTGCCATGATGATAATGGGCTGAACCTCTGAAACTGTAAGAGAGACACCTCAATTAAATGTTTTCTTTATAAGAGTTGCTATGGTCATGGTGTCTCTTCACAGCAAAACAAACAAACAGACAAACCAAAAACTCCTAACTAAGACAGTAGCAGACAGTGGGCTAAGACAGACTCTGTTTCCAAAGCCACAAACCTCACTTGTGTCTACATCAGCATTAGACATGAGCCACTATATCCTTTTGAAGGGGGTATGTCAAGTAATTGGTAGACATGTATTAAAAGTACCACACCAGGAAAGGTTGAAGGGATAAGGATGCTAATTAAATGACAAAACAAAACAGCAAGAGTAAAACAAATAAGCAAACAGGAAACACTTTGGGTTAAAAATCCATTTAGGACAAGGCTGAATGCTAATTAAGAATTCTGAAAGAGATTAGGGATTGAAGTTTAGATGGAACCTGAAGTCCCAACTTGAATTCTTGGCACAGACATCTTTGAATATCTCTCAGTATGAAACTAGTGAATAGAAGAACTCTTGGGAGGAAATGTGTGTTGCTGGCACTGCGATGAGAAGAATATTTGAGGATTTGTATCAGGGATAAGCAATTCAGAGAGCGTATCCAATGCTTGACTTAGGAACCTTCCAAGCCAACTTTTCCTTTCATAAGCCTTTGAATTCTGGGGAGTGTTGCAATAGCCCTACATGAGCAAGGGAGCCAAATTCCTGCTTTAGTTTTCACATCTTTCTTCCCCCTCTCCTTCTTCTAAAGGTTATATTCATCTTTCTCTGCTGTTTGAAGGCAAACTATCATGATCTAATTGCCTAAGAATTTATTTCCAAATAGTTGTTGACAGAGCCTTACAGTTTCAGGAAGATCAGACATATCAGGTTCCCTCTTTTACTTAAGATTTTTTTTTTAATATTAAAAGAAAAAACCTAACTGTGTTCCCCCAGGAAGTTTTCTGTGTGGCACCTGGGGTATTCAGTCAGTCAACATGCATTTCTTGGATATAGGATAAAGAGAGAAGGTTCCTTAGGACTCATACATTAGGAGAGCCTAACTGGAAACAGATGCAGATAAATCCAAAATCACAAAGGTGGGGTAGAGAGAGAGAGAGAGAGAGAGAGAGAGAGAGAGAGAGAGAGAGAGAAGAAAGGGGTGAGGTTACAGCTAAGTTGTTGTATGGAGGGAGGTAAAATTATTCAGGAAAATGTCCTAGAAAAGATGAACTTAGAGCTTGTCTAAATATTTGGGGGATGACTCCGGAAAAGGCCTGGAGAGAAAAGACTGGAAACTGCACATTTGGGCCATCAAGGGATGATGGAGGGATCACTGGAGGGCAGGCTGGAATGTGTGGGAGACGATACTGGGAATGGTGTGGAAATGGTGGCCGTGGCACCCTGAGTCTGGGGATGTAACTCAGTGGTGGACCTCTTACCTAGTATGTGGGAGGCACTGAGTTCCATTCCTAGCACCAAAATTAATATAAGTAAATAAAATAACATTTAAAAGACAGATCTGAGTAAAATTGAACTTTCAGAGTCTCTTGTGGTAGAGCAAGTCTTTTGCAAAGGTGGAAGACCTTTCAAAATATTCTCTGTCAGATCAGACCAAAGATCAAAACCCCAAATCCACAAACAATTCAAAACAGAACAACAACAAAAATACTCTCCAAGGGGTGGAGAGATGGTTCAGCTCTTCCAAAGGATCTGAGTCCAACTCTGAGCACACACGCTGCTCACAACCATCAGAGACTCCAGTTCCAGAGGATATGACATCCTCTTTTGGCCTCTGAGAGCACTGCACGCACAGACGTGTGCAGGCAAAAACCATGACACAAAATAAAAATAACTGTGGTTATAATATAATAAATGTGCTTCAGTTAATGGAGTCCCTTAGAGAGGTAGACCTGTTCTTTGGATCATTGTAGGAAGATGTGAGGTATTTCCTCACCTTTTGAAGCACCATCCAGTCACCATCAAGACCAACTGTACTGAGAAAAAACTGGAGATAGACTGCCTCGCTGATTCATTCGGCAAGAGCAAAATGGATGCTTTTGAATTTGAGAAGCAGGTGGGATTGAGTGTGTTGTCCTTAGGACTGGGAGAATATGGAGGCAAGTCTCCCTTCATTTAGCCTGAGTTTATTTTCCTTTCTCTCTCTGAAATTGGGTGGCGAGCGGATAGGGGTTTGCTGGGACTCAAACTCAGGACCCTGTGAATGCTAGGCAAGCACTCTACCCAAGTCCGTTCCAGTCCTTGTACTCTTTTTCCATGAACACTTGCTGCGATACTGCTTCATGTGTTAGGAGCTGTGATGGGAGCTGAAGATACTGAAGTGTCTGAAGCATCATGTCTACAGTGGCAACAGCAAACATAACACTTAAATATTTCTGTTTCTGCTAGTTGCTGTTTGCATTGTCCAAAGAGAAACTCTTTCTTCTGGAATAGCATGGGCAAATGTGTGGCAGGCCAAAGTCCCATTTGCTTCTCTGCTGCCCCACCAGCTGTACCACAGAGAGTTCTTCCAACTGTCTCACTCATGCTCCAACAGATTCAGACCCAAGATATTTCAAAACTCATCTCTGATATAACCAAATGAGGATGGAAGTCCTTGGATGCTGCATTTAGAAGCTAATGGATCATACTTCCCAGAAATCCCTGTAATGGGTGGAACTTACAGCAATAGACACAGGCTATAAAATGCAGTCAACGGATGGCTGTCTCTCCACACTCCCCCTCTGTATCTTGCCATTTTGAGCAACCATGGACACAGAAAACATCATCAGACTACATAGAGGACAAGCCAGGGCTATGGAAATCTGGCCCTGAATCCAGGCCCTACTCATTAAGCCAGTCGTGACATAACCCACCAATTCGACCGGCTTTTAATCTTCCTCATCAAGGGGCCTGCTGGCTGCACAGCCCATGCAAGCCCATCCTGATGGTTTCTGGGTGGTTGACACTCATTACCCTCTGACTTCATTCTTTTTTCCTTTGCAAAATGGCTATTGCCCAGAGCCAGTTTCTCTTTTCCAAAAAGCTGCCGTGCCAAAAGGGGTTTTGGAAACTGCCTTGCTGTCTATCAGGAGCCAGGTGACTCACAGCCGTGAACCAACGCACATAACAAGGATGCCTGATTGGATCACCAATTAGCCACCTCCACCTCAGGAGCGTGGTTGGAAAGAAGAGACGAGGCCGTGTTTAGTTTGGGCAAATACCAAAAGGGCTTTATCACCCTGATCAAGGCATCAGCATGGCACACTAGAGCTCTTCCAAGCCATTCCTCTGCAACTCCTGTCTCCAGATGTTGCGGCAAGAGGGAACTTGTTCCGCGAACATAGGGTTATTGTGTCTGGACCACAGAGGAACCTCTGTGTCAGGGTGTGGGAGAAGCTGGCTGCTTCATGTCTGCTGCTTTTAATGATGTCTCTGCTGCTGCTGGGAACCTTTGGAAACTGAAGGTAAAGCACTCCCCTCTGAACGCAAGGCTGACCTGAGGGTGCGAGCTTACCTTGTCTCAGCGGAAGCGCCTCCGTTCCCACGAGCCTTGCAAGGGATAGGCAGCCATTTTCACCATCTGGACTCAGTAAGAAGGGTCCCGGTGTGGGATCTCTGGAATTTTCTTGAAAACAAGCATATGCATGGGCAGCGTTAGCTCCAGTGCAGGTGAGGGAAGCCGAGCCTGGCTGTGCTCCCCTACGTCCAGGTGGGCTGTACATGGAGATGCTGGTGTGTTCTCTGCTTGCCAGGGTTCACCGAGGTACTTGGCACAGCAGGCTTATTGTCTAGGCCCTGTCTTCTGGGGGCTGGGGGGGGGCAGGGTCAGGATGAGATGGAGATAAAGGGGCTTCCATGAACCATACCACACCCATGCAGAGTCTGGAGACAGTAGCAGCTCTGGACATTTTGAGGTCAGGGCTAGGACATTTTGGGGCATTCTCCCGTTGACTGTGGCCTAGTCCCTGGGTACAGGATCTGGTGAATCCTGCTTTGGCTTTTCCTCTCAGTGGATGCCTTTGTATGGCATTCCATGTGTATGATCACAGGCTAGGACTGAGTGCTGGGACTACACAAGAACTCCAACCCAGGCTGCACAAAGAACTTGTCTGTCCCTTGGTTACTTGCAAAGACTCAAGGTATTTATGTAAAATTACTATGAAAGAAAAACTATGTTCTTCCCCTGCTTTCAGACATGGCAATAGCCATTTTCTGTACTAAACAGAAGTACAGGAAGCCCCTGTTGTCTGCTAGAGAATTGCTTGGTAAGAGGGGAACCTCTAGTCACAGACATTTTCTGTTTAGTGCTGACACTGCTACCTGGAGTTAACATCAGATTGCTCAGGTTAAGGGCTCAGATCCACAAGGCTGTCCCTGTTTTAACTGCTGACTGCAAGCCCCCATCTGTGGCCTGTGCTTATAAATAGGGCTTCCTCGAATTTGATACTTAGGACGTTCACAGACACTTACTTAGGTTTACTAATTTGTGATAAGGGATATAATAACCCAACAGCCAGATGATGAGATGCAAGTGGTGGGGGCTGGGAGCTTCTGTACCCTCTCTGAGCACATGCGATGCCATTAGCATAAACTCCATCAGTACAAAGAGGCTCCCCATGAGCCAAAAGGGACACTTATATTTGGAAATTTCATGGGTTTTAGATCTGTGACAAAACCAGAGACAAAAGCTAAATATAGTTTATATTATATTACTTTGACTTTTCCTGTTTTCAAGGCCGTAGTAGATGTTGAGGGACAGGTACGGAATTCATTTACAAACACATAAATGTACGTAAAGATACAAACACATGTGCACACATGTGCATACCTTCAAAAGACAAATGTACAGATGCACAGCCACGTACATGCAGGCATGCAAGCTTATACACATGTCACATACAAATTGGCACAATTCACTGAGACATGCACTCTGTCATAGGCTTGAATGCACCTTAGACATGTGCTTTCACCTGCTTAGACACATACAGTTGTGCGTGTGCACACAGCACACACATGCATTCACATGGACAGATAAGCATATGTATACCACCACACACTCCGAGATCTGTGAGTATACATACACTCACACACATGCACACACACACCCCGCTTGGGATTTCTGTGTCATTCTAGTTTAATCAAATTCTCTCTTTGAGATTATCTAAGACTAGGTGTGTGTGTGTCTTATCTAGGGCTGTTGACCTCCAGAATGGCCTTTGGTGAAGAAGGGACACTGGTCAATCTTGGGTCAGGGCATGAAGCTGGGGGGTGGTGGGAAGGCTCTAAGGCATTTGTGTAGAAAGAGAGGGAGGGAAGGGAGGGGTTTGGTTGTGACTACCTCAACCCTAAACAGAGAAACTGCAAACACAGAACGGAGTTATTGACTTACATATTTAATTTATGCTTACAAGAATTCAACCCTCCATGCTTTGGGGACAGAATGAGAGACGGAAGGGGAGACAGATGGGGGCAGGGAGAGAGTGATTGATTTAAATAGTCAGCCTGTTTCCAAGTAGCATGAAAGGATAGGAGTCTAACGGTTGTCTCCCCACGGCTCTCACAACCCTCCCTCGTCTCCTCTCAGTGTGAACTGCGCTGTGAACAGAGATGCCTCTTCCACACTTGTTAGCTCCTTCATCTGGTGCTCCCCAGAGGAGGCCGTGGCCCAAAGCTCTGAGGGAGGAGGAACAGTGCATGGGCTACACTTTAAAAATACATTAAGATTTATTATTTATTGGTTTTATTTTATGTGTATGAGTGTTTTGCTTGGTGCCTGAGGAGGCCAGCAGAGGGCTTCAGATCCCCTGGAACTGGAGTGACAGACACTTGGGTACTGGGAACAGGCCAGGAGTCCTCTGAAAGAGCAAATGCTCTTAACTGCTGAGCCAGCTCTTCAGGCCCTCAGCTGCATCTCTTTGACAATCTCCTGTCAGTTTCCAGCAAGGCACCTCTCCTGAGATTTTTAGGGGTAATTCAGACTCTCAGCATCTTTTGCTTTCTGAGTGGCCCTACAGTTCAAAGCCCTGCACTGCCATGTGGCGTTGCTTTTGATCTTGTTCACTCCTTGGCTGCCAGTGTTGGGGCTTGTCCTGCTTCATCCTGCAATAGGAATGCAGCATCTTTTCCTTCCTGTGAACAGGTCTCAGGTCTGCCCTGGGCTGCAGGATGATGTCCCTCTGGAAGCTTTATCTACAGCAAGCTCCACAGGTCCCTGTGCCCAGGGAGGGTCCTGGCTTGCAGCGTGTTAAGTATGTCTACTGAACCCAGTGGTGTGTAACATGGGAGTTCAGGGAGCCAAGTCATCACGAGTGGCTGCTGGAAGGAGGAAACAGCTCGTTGGTGTGTATTGGTGCAGCAAGCTCTCTGAACAAGACAGACTCTTTAGAGAGATGGCTGAACATTAATTTCATTAATATAGTTGGAAATATTGCCATGTCCCCTTTCTGGTGGGGAACCTAGAGAGGAACCACAGAAAAGACAATGGGTAGGGTTTCCATGTACCCCAGAATGATTACCTGGTCTTGCTGGCAGTGCCCTCTCATTTGGGACCCCTGTGGGACTGTTGCAGCCTGATGTCCTGGTGCTGTCCATGGCCTTCTGGACCTCTGGACTTTTCCTTCCTTTAATCTGGGGTGGGAGACCCAGTGGCTGGTCTTTGCTCTGGGCCAGGATATCACCATCTCCTAAATCAAAACGGGAAACTCATGAGTGGAAAAACTCTGGAATCAGGATGGTCAGTCCGTGTCTCTTCTGGCTTAATTGATAGCTGTTTGGGATAATGGCTCTGTTTGTTTTCCACTTTGTTCCTCCTTTCCAGGCCTGCTAAGGGGTAGTGAAATTGCTTTTGACTAGAACAGGGGCCCTTCCTTTGAGGAATTGCCCAGAGTGGGGAGGAATGGAGAAGTGGTAGCTGTGACAGTCACCTCACAGAAGGGAGCCAGAGATGGGGACAAGCCTGAGAGGTTGTAGACTCCCCAGTCTGAAGGCTCTGAGTACGACGAGGACTCAGGGGATTTAGATTATAGGATACAGTTTTCTTTCCTTTTGAGACAGTATCTTATTGTGCTGCCTAGTCTGGCCTTAAAGTGGTCTCCCTGCCTCAGTGTCTCAAATGCTAGAATCTCAGACCTATGCTACCATACCCAGCTGGATATAGATTTCTGATGACAAAGAAATTTTGCTAGACAAAGCCAATGATCACATTCCCTTCTCAAGGTATGTTGGGTACAAAGTACAACTGCCTATAGATTCAGGATAAGCTGGATACCCACATTCTCAGGTGCTTAAATCCCTTATGTGAAATGGCATGGCATTTACTTATACCTACATGCATCTCCTTGTATACCGTCTCTAGGTTCCTTATAATAGCTGATACAATGTAAATGCCGTGCAAATAGCTGTTATATTGTACTGTTTAGAGGAGAATAACAAAAATAAATGAATAAATACATAAATAAATAAAAGGGGGGTGTTTTGTACAGTTGATTTTTCTCCCAAATACTTTTGATTTGTAGGTGGTTGAATTTGTGGATGTAGAGTGAGCGTAGTATTTGGAGGACCAACTATACCACCCTCCAGATGGTAGACGGAGGACCACAAAATTGATAAAACAAACAAACAAACAACCCCCCCAAAAAAACAAAACCCCAAACCAAACCAAAACAAAAACCAAAATCCAAACCTCCAGAGAGCACTTCTTAACCCTTCATCTCCATCCTGTCTTCTCAAATGCAACAGGGACTGTTCTAGGAAGACAGAATCTAGGACCTCACCTACAAAAGTCTGGTTTGTTTTCTAGAGATAATGGTCTTTATTTTATATTTGACACAATTTTTGGTTTTAGGCTTAAAAGCTGGCTTCATATGGAATCTCAGATTTTCAAAGGGTGTTTATTTGTTACAAAAGAAAGAAATACTGACCCCCCCAACCTTAGGCAGGGTCTCTATAGTTCTGGCTGTCCTGGAACTCACTATGTAGACCACGGGGGCCTTGAACTCACAGGAATCCATCTACCTGCCTCTGTCATCCAAATGCTGGATTTAAAGGTGTGAGTCACCATGCTTGACAGAAGAAGTATTTTCATGGTGGAGAAATCTGATAGAAACCCCTTTGACCCACATACAGGTTGGTGTCACTTCCTATGGAACACACTGTCACTGATGTCATAAGAAACTAATTTGGAAACCTGATGTACCCAGAAGCAACTGTCATTCCAGCACTTGGGAAGTAAAAATAAGAAGATCAGGAGTTCAAACTCATCCTCAGATATACAGTGAGTTTGGAGGTAGCTTGGGCTATATTTCTATGTAAGAGTCCATCTCAAAACAAAACAAAAAACCCAAACCAAGCTGGGTGGTGGTGGTGCACACCTTTAATCCCAGCACTCAGGAAGCAGAGGCAGGTATATTTCTGTGAGTTTGAGGAATCCTGGTCTACAGAGGGAGTTCCAGGTCAGCCAGGGCTATTACACAGAGGAAACCTGTCTCAAAAAACCAAACCAAAAACAATCCAAACAAACAAACAATACCCAAAACCTAAACAAACATCAGCAACAAAAAAACCTCAAACTAAACCAAACCTAAACTAAACTATAGCAGCAACAACAAACCACAGAACAAAACCATGCCTAGAGAATTCTTTCAGGTTAAAAGTCTCTGAAGAGAGATGACAACTAAGCGCTATGCGTGGTCTTGAGTTGAATTTTGATTTGGGGAAACAAACAAACAAGCAACCCCCCTGCCCCACCAAAAAAGGCAAAAATCCATAGAGAACATTGTTGGTATATAACTAGAAAATTTTGAATATGGATTTTATATTGGAAACCATTTCTGCACTAATGCTAACTTTCTTGAATGTGATAACTGCACTGTGGCTGAGAGAATATTTTGCTGATAGACTGTATAAGGTCTTCAACTTCTGCCCCCATAGTGTGGCAGTAAAATAAAATATATGTGTATGTAGATGTGTGAAGACATAGAAGCTGGCTTCACGTCCGTGGCATTAAAGGCGAAATGTTCTAGGGCTGGGCAAGAGAATGGGAATGTGCAGCCTTTGTGGCCATGGGACAATCCCATCATCAGCTGTTAATATCCTGCACAAGGTCTGTAGGGGACATAGTGTATGGAAAAGTTTGCCTCTTTGACACCTCCTTTTTATTCTGAGCTGGGATTTCACTGTCTTGGGGGCCAGCCTTGAACTTAGGACTCTCCTTTGGGCCACATACTGAGCTAAGTCACCTGATTCATCAGAGACTTCTTAGGGCAGCTTCTACCTGGTACAGCAGCCAAAGATGGACTAGCTCTTGACTCAGGTGGGTGAATACAGCAGGTCAAAAGGAACGGTGGGCAGAACAGGATGAGCAATGCATAGGTAAAATTTGGTGTGCTGTCTTTATCTCTGTCTCTGATTGTGAACAGGAAAGAGGCAGAAGGTGGTCCTCTCCTGTACTGGCTCTAAGGAAGATGCAAAGTGGATGACTGACGGTTACAGAAGAGCCCGATTAAGTAAGCTCTGCTTTGATAATACCTTTTACGAACTTCGTGTCCTAGGTTCTTTGCTGTGTCTACTCTCAAGGGCAACGATGGATAATAGGCAAGACATGGAGTTGAGCTCTGGGAGGTCCTGACCTTCAACCCCAGCAAAACCACTTGGAGTTGTGCGACCTCAGATAAATGACTTAGTTCTTGGCATGTCTATTTTCTGGTCTGTAAAACGAAGGCAGGATTGTTGTGAGGGGCACTTGGGAGAGTGTGTTAAAAACCAAGAGCAGAGCCTGGCACAGAGGGGGAACTCAAACAAATCGATGTGCACCCCTCTGCTTCCAGCTGTGGTGCTCAGTGACCACCAGCCACTCGTGAGCCTGTCATCCTGCACATGAGGAGGGTTCAGGAACTTTCCACATATGGCTCACCACTTCCAACATATTTACTGTATTAAAATATACACTTTGACACACCCAGAGCATAACTTCTTTATTGTTTTTAAACATTTTTTAATTTTAATTTTTATTTTTTGAGACAAGGTCTCTCTGTGTAGCTCTAGCTGTTCTGGAACTAGCTCTGTAGACCAGGCTGGTCTCAAACTCACAGAGATCCACCTGCCTCTGCCTCCCACGTGCTGGGATTAAAGGTGTTCCTTACAACACCTGGCCCTATGTGCATAACTTCACATTTCAAAAAATGTGAAGACTTTTTTGAATCAATATAACAAACTTTTAAATGAATGAGTACATATCCATAAAAGATTAGAAATGGAATTTCATTGCTTAAAAACAGGTTAGTAACAGGGCATGCAGCAAATTTTCAGTCAGTTTAGTGACATTTTACACCTGTAACCAGAAAATATTATGGAGGGTGAGTCAGTGAGTAAGTCATTTGCGAGCTAGGCACTGTTAGTTGTATTGAAGCATGTGGGTTAAGGCGGCTGCTGCCTGAACAATAGCCATCTTCAAGAGCCTGGGGATGAACTAACCTCCCTGGAAGCCTCCTTTCTCTCCTCGGAGGACCCTCCTGTGTCTTGCCTTGTTTCCGTTTAGAGTGAGGTTCCCTTGGGGTGCTGGGGGGAGAAAGGAGCTACCTTGAGTTGAGGGTGTGTCCTGGCCACTGGCCACCGGGAGATGCAGCGTTATCCCCCTTGTCCTTTCTAAGTATGGACGCTTCAGGGAAGGCCGCCATAAAGGTTTGGCCTCTTCTGGTTCTGGATCTGATTCAGGGTGCTGAGCACCTAGAAAGCAAAGAGAAAGTTAAGACATTCATCTTGTCTTTGTGGAGACCCATCTCTTCCTTGCTTGCCCAATGGGGTTTGGGTAAATCTGTGTCCATTCTGTGACTCCAGGGTTGGCCATGTAACTGAACTTAGATTGTAAGAGGACCTCATTATCTTAGTTACAGTGATTGGTTCCAGGGCAGGGACATGAGTCAAGCCAGACTGTCTGTCTATCTGTCCCTCCCTCCCTCCCTCCCTCTCTCCCTCCTTGAGTGATGCTGAGGAGGGAAGCATTTATCCTTGCAAGAATTCCAACAATACAACCTCCTATAAAGTTTCCAGAAGTCAAAACTCTGTAAGAAATCAGAGGCAGTTTCTGTTGAAGTTTCTGGAAAACCATGACTCCCTTAAAATGGGGTTTATCTTTTGTCCCAGACTGACCAGTGAAGTCCCAGGAGTAAGAATCCCTGTTAAGCAAGGTCCCAGCAAAACAACTTAGGGGGTCTCTCCTGTGACACAGGGTGAGGTGGGGGTGGTGACTTTCAAGCCTCCTCTAAGAGCTTTCTTCAGTCCAGCTGCACCTGTTCTCCTAGGTTACTATCATAGAAGTCTTCTTAGAAAGAACAGAATCCTTTTCCTGACAAGGACTGTTGAGATCGTCTTTTAGATAATGAAATAATTTTAAAAATCAAAAAGACTCTTTCCCCAAATGACTTGACAGATTTTTTAATGATCCCTCATGTAAGACCTCACCCTCCCTGGGGAGGGGATGGGGGATGGGATGGGGGCGGTTGTTGGAGGGTATGGGAAGATGGGAGGGAGAGGGAACTGGGATTGATATGTAAAATAAGATTGTTTCTAATTTAAATAAAATTTATATATTTATAAAAAGACTCTCTTGGGCAAAACTTTTCTTTTTATAAACAAAGATCCAAATAGCCAATAATTGCTTTTAGCTTGGCTGCTAGGAAATCAGTTAAATAAATCAAATGTTTATCTAAAGCACTAACCTCATCCAAGCTGTCTTATAATATCAGTTTCTCTGATCTTTTAAATCAAGGTTTTTGTCCTGGGTAGTTTTACATCATCTTGACACAAGCTAGAGTCATCTGAAAGGAGGGAGCCTCAACTGAGAAAATGCCTCCATAAGATCCAATTGTAAGGTATTTTTTAAATTAGTGATTGATGGGGGAGGGCCCAGCCCATTATGGGTGATGCCATGCCTGGGCTAATGGTTCTGAGTTCTACAAGAAAGCAGGCTGAGCAAGCCAGAGAAAGCAAGTCAGTAAGCAGCTCTCTCCCATGGCCTCTTCATCTGTTTTGCCTCCAGGTTCCTGCTTTGTTTAAGTTCCTGCCTTGGCTGGACTCCCTCAGTGGACTATGACTCTGGGTATGTAAACCATGTAAACCCTTCCCTCCCCAAGTTGCTTTTGGTTGTTGAGTTTTTGTTATAGCAATAGTAATCCTAACTAGGACATTTTCCCCCATTTCCATTTTTAGTTGCTTTTTTGGTATTATATAATTTTGGGGGGTAAGCTGCTGGAACATTCTTGCACCTTTATACTATCTGTGGTACACTGGAGTTATTTATGTATCTGTCTGTCTTCTTTTCCTGGTTTAGTAACACGAATGGCTTAGAATTGAATTGGATATGATCAGAAGAGACCTATGGAGTTTGCAGACTTTCCTTTGTTTGGAAAAGACCTTCTTTTGACCCTGGGGATCACTCTGGGGATGGGTTGGACTGGCAGGGATCCCAACTTTTAACCCTTTCTGGCTTGACCAAGTCCCTCAGACTTGCAGGAGACCAGCAGGAGACCTACCACTTCTGCAGGCCTTTTCTTTGGGGGGCTGTGGGGCTTGGAAATGAATCTCCATTGGGATAATGAAGAGCTCCATTGGGGGTTCATTGGCTTTATAACGGCTCCTCAGGGGGTTGAAGACTCTGGGTGGTTCTTCTGAAATAGGAGGTAACTTCAGAGCCTTTGGTGCCTGGAGAAAGTTTAAACAGGTATCAAAACTCTGCCGCCTGCGGAGGGCAAACGATACCATATCTTACCGCATTTCTTGTACAAATAGTTGCTAGGAGAAGCAAAGGTCGTGGGCTGGGAGGGTGCTGATTGCTCTGGTGTGTGTGGGTGTGTTGCTTTGATGTCTCCAGGGAGCTCCATGTATGTCCTTCCTGTCTGATCCTTCTGAGTTTTATCAACACGCTAAATTTGAGAACCTTTGAGAGAGGCAGACGTGGTGGTCCACACCTGTAGTTCTAGCACTTGGGAGGTGGAGGCAGGAGGATCAGGAGTTCTGGAACATCTATACTGGGGAACAGAAAATTTATAGCTAGCCTGGACTACATGAGACATTGCCCCAAACTCTCTCCTCTCTAAGAGTCTCTATGGTGACTGGGAAGAATGTCATGGATAGAAGTGACGTGGCTAGGATTTCTGTGTACTGAGAAATGAGGTCTCTCCAAACAAGTTCAGAGAACATCTATGTCTGGTTCCCTTTGGTAACTTCATCTGTAGACCAGGCTGGCCTTGAACTCACAGAGATCTGCTTGCTTCGGCCTCCTGAGTTCTGGGATTAAAGGTGTGCACCACTACTGCTGGACTCCCGTCTTCTTCTTTTTCTTCTTCTTCTTCTTCTTCTTCTTCTTCTTCTTCTTATTCTTATTCTTATTCTTATTCTTCTTAGTTTTTTGAGACAGGGTTTTTCTGTGTAGCTTTGGAGGCTTTTCTGGAACCAGCTCTTATAGACCAGGCTGGTCTCAAACTCACAGAGCTCTACCTGCCTCTGCCTCCCAAAAGCTGGAATTAAAGGCCTGTGCCACCACCGCCTGGTAGTAACTTTTGGGAGGGGGTTATTTTTGTTTGTTTGTTTTTACATCCTAATCAAAGTTTACCCTCCCTTTTCTCCTCTCAGCACCCCCTTCCCCCATCCATGCCTCCTCCTCTTGTTTCTCTTCAGAAAAGGGCAGGCCTCCTGTGGATATCAGCCAGCCATGGTGTATCAAGTTGCAGTGAGACTAGGCACCTCCTCTTCTATTAAGGTTGGATGCCAGAATCCAGTAGAAGGAAATTGCCCCAAAAGCAGGCCCTGCTCCCATGGTTAGGAGTCCTGCAAGAGGACCAAGCTACACAACTGTAACATATATGTGGAGGTCAGTCCCATGCAGACTCCCTGATTGTTGATTCAGTCTCTGTTACCCTATGAGACCAGGTTAGTTGGTTTTGTGGGTTTTCTAGTGGTGCCCTTGACCCCCCTGGTTCCTACAATCCCTCTCCCCCATCCTCCATAGGATTCCACCAAGCTCCCTTTGGTAACTTTTTTTTTTTTTTTTTTTCTTTTTTTGGTTTTTCAAGACAGGGTTTCTCTGTGGCTTTGGAGGCTGTCCTGGAACTCACTCTGTAGACCAGGCTGGCCTCGAACTCAGAGATCTGCCTGCCTCTGCCTCCCAAGTGCTGGGATTAAAGGTGTGTGCCACCACCGCCCAGCCCCTTTGGTAACTTTTAAGCCTTAATTTTCTTCCTTAAAATAAGTGGTCACACTACCCGTGCTGCAAAGTTGAGAGATGTAAACGAATGAATATATGTAGTCACAGTAGTGTTTGGAATACAGATTGCTTTTGTGGCATGCAAAGTGTGTGTGTGTGTGTGTGTGTGTGTGTGTGTGTGTGTGTGTGGTATATCTGCATGTTTGGTCTCTGTGTGTGTGTGTATGGTCTGTCTGCAAGTAGTGTGATGTGTGTGTGTATGTGTGGTGTTTGTGTATGATGTGTGGTATGTCTGCATATATGGTGTATCTGTGTTGGTGGTGGTGGTGTGTGTGTGTGTGTATGTGTGTATGTGTGTGTGTGCTGATGAGGGTGGAGCTTGAGTGCACATAAGACCAACACTTTGCTACTGAGTTGCCTCCCCAGCCTGCTTCTTGAGACAAGGTTTCACTGTGTAATCCAGGCTGGCTTTGAACTCACAACTCTCCTATCTTTGCCTTGGGTGTGAGTGCTGAGGTAATAGGCATGCCCCATCACACTTGGCTCCTAGCAGGAAAATCTTAGCTTCTGATCACGTTGTGGCATGAACACAACTGAAGATTCACATGTCAGCATCAACAACTCCTTTGGCTTGGTTGCTACTTCCTGTCCTCGAACACAGACACACACACAGACACACTCACACACACACACACACACAGACACACACAGACACACACACACAT